TACTTCCCCTAAAAGGACGCCTATGGTTACGCAGGTTTTGGTCCACGTTTCCTCTTACCATTTTGGTTCCATTTTGAAATTCCGTTTTTTTTGAGCCACAGCCAGGTGGCAGTGGAGTCAGGACACGCCTTTTGTTGGACAAAAGGGCAACCATGGCATGATTGGAGTCGCCCTTCATTGCATTGATCTCATGTGACTTGTGGTGAACAGCCAGATTGGAGTCGCCCTTCATTGCGTTGATCTCATGTGACTTGTGGTGAACAGCCAGGACATTTTCAGCACGCCGCGACGCGCACATGCCATCCCAGGAGGAACAACTTGCAATACACACACACACACACGCATTAACAAACATCAATATTTTTCCATATGCAAGTAGGCATATGTACATATCACTCTCATGCGTATGTACATATCTCTCTCACTCGCTCTCATTCTTTGTTTCTTTCCTTTCTTTCTCTGTCTCTTTCTTCCTCTTCCTTTCTTCCTTTCTTCCTTTCTTCCTTTCTTCCTTTCTTCCTTTGATCCTTTCTTCCTTTCTTCCTCTCTTCCTTTCTTCCTTTCTTCCTTTCTTCCTTTCTTCCTTTCTTCCTTTCTTCCTTTCTTCCTTTCTTCCTTTGATCCTTTCCTTCGTTCCTGCTTTCCTTCCTTTCTTTCTTTCTTGCTTTTGTTTCTCTGCCTGCTTCCCTTTCTTTTTTTTCCTCTCTCTCTCTCTCTCTCTCTCCTTGCCCCTCCCGCTGCAGAATCATAAACGTTTAATGCGCATGTGCGCTGTTGTGCGCGCGCGCGCCGTGCATGCGCGCGTGCGTGCCTGGGAGAGGCCGGCAGATGCTGCTGAGACCCTACCTGGCGAGCCACTTCGGCGCCAACAAGGCGCGGAGCGGAAGCCGGCTGCCGCGTTTGGCTTTTTGCGCCCACGATTCGTTGGGTGGTTCAGAACCAGCCGTCCGGTTTGTTAGGTTTTTAGGTTTCTTAGCTGGTTTGGCGGGGGAATTTGCATTTAGCCCACTAAATTCATGAGTTTTTGGCAGGGGATTTGAGGACAGCCCAGTACTCAGTGGACCTTTGAATCTTTTGGCTTTCTAGTTTTGGTCTATTTGAAGTCAAGGTTTCAAAAGTGAGACTAAGGCCCAGTGTGTCAGCCGTTTTGACAAGATGAGGGGCAAACAAAAACCAGGGAAACGGAAGTTGGCAGCATGCCCAAGACCCCTTTGGGGCCAATGCTTAGTGGCTTAGTGTTTTTTTGTTCCAGGAACGATGCTGGGGACCTTGAGGAAAACCCCAGAGACACCGGTAATGGTAAAGCAACTCAGCAACCCAGCCGGAACAACAACGACGACGACGACGACGACGACGACGACGACAACAACAACAACAACAACAACAACAACCTGGAGGATTAGCCGAGTAGTGTGTTTAGGGCTCGGGATAACCCTAGTTGGAATGCTCGGCCCCAGAGGATTCGCTTGATCAAAAACGATTTGGCTGGGCTGTCCTCAGACCCCCTGCTGAAAGTTAAAACCCAACACACGCTGGACCTTGACGAGGCCGACCTGGAGCGGCTCATCCTAATTGCGGTGCCTGGGGCGGTGGCGTCGCTGGCCTTCCTCCTGCCAAAGCTTGCAGGCTACGAAATGGCCGCGCTCAAGGCGAGGGATCGGTAGTGCTGCCACTGGCACGGGACAACCATGCCTTTCAAGGTGAGCGTGATCAGTTTTGCACCACCGGCAGGATAATTTGGTATATAGCCATATACTAATATATATTTGTATATATATATACACATGTGTATATAGTATATACATCTATATATATATATAGATATTGGCACATCAATGCACATGCTATATATATATATACACATACATACACACATATGTACATACTTAACACAGGCATTTGTTTTAAGGATCGGCGTGCATAAATACGTATATACAGATATACTCCGAGAACGTCACCCGGAAGGCCGCCCCTGAAGGCCTCGCTGGGCGCGGCGGCTTTCCTGACGCTGGGCGTGGCGGCGTGCGGGGGCTTCTGGCAGGTGCTGGGGCTCTACGCGCTGCTGGCGGGGCCCAGCTTGATGTTCGCGCCCCTGGTGTCCGCCCTGCGCCTTTGGCTTAGGGGACACGAGAGAGGGACAATACCCGGGTTGGGTGCCTGGAAAAAGCGAGGAGGTGGAGAAATTAGACAGAGCCTTGTGGGGGGCAAGGATTGCAGTTCGGGAATTAGTCTAATTGGTCCAGGAAGATGTGGGCTGAGGGCTTTCTGGGTTGAAAAGGATTGGAAGTGACTCAGAGGTTACATTGAAGGAGAGCAACCAACAACAACGGATGACCAAGCATGCTTTGCTCGGGAACACTTTTGGGCTGCGAAGATCTTTGCTTGTTGGCAGGTGGTTTTCTGTGCACGTTTCGCCTGTGTTCAATCGGGCGATTTGTAGCGGGGAGTGCCACAGTTGACTGAGAAGCAGCCCCGCCAGCCCTGATCCGACCGGACCGGAGAACTGTCTAACCTCGCCCCCCAACAAGCCAATCAACAACCCAAGAAACCAAGAAACCCAGAAACCCAGAAGCCAACCAACCACCTACACCACACCAGACCGGACATCGGAAGGAAGGCCAACCTGGTGAGCGACGCGGAGCAGGGCAAAGTGCAGGGCCTCCTCGCGGCGCTGCGCTCCTTCGCCAGCGCCGGCACCGGCGCCGCCGTGTCCTCCGTGGGCTTCCGCCCCGGGGGCCGCGACCGCGGCAGCCTGCGGGGTGGCCTGCGCCCTGGGCGGAACGGGAGGGGAGGGGCTCAGGGCGCTTTGGGGGTTTGGGGGGGGGGGGGGTGAAAGTCGGAAGCTGGGGATTTCTTTACTGGCATCTTGGGGGTGGATGAAGGAACCTTGAATGAGTTGTGACTATGGTTGCAGGTTCAAAGAGGCCTGAGAATGGCCAGACCCGTTTTGTGGAGGTTTCGGGCCTTCCCATACCAAGGTTCTGACTCCATGCCCATCCAGAACAAACCTGAAACTTGCAGAAACCTCAGCAGGAACTTGGGCTACCCGCCAAAAACAGGGGTTTGGCAGCCTTCCTGTAGATTTGCCAGGTGGAGGCGTAATAGGATGATCCCCCAACTTGGTTTCCTCCTCACACTCGCGAGGTACCTCGTGGCGATCCTGGAGTTTGTTGCCACGCTGCTGGCGGTGGTCTCGCTGCCTGGTGACGGGCCCCTGGATGATCCGGACGCGGATGTGGAGCTGGTGGCCTGGACGATCCGGACGCGGGTGGTCCAGACGGGCGCGTTTATTTTGGGGTGAAATACCGTTCAACCTGACAGGGGATCCCCTTTGACAGGAAATTGATCTTCCGGGGACCCCCCGAACGTCAGGGTCCATGTTAGTTTTTGGGACGGTAGTTAGCATGGGGCTGTAGGGTACTTTGACACCACCATTAGTGACCATAAGAATAAGTTTTCCAGGGTTACACTTCGCATTGTGGCAACACCCACCGCCAGAGTGATGTGTTGCAGTCTTTTTTTGAGAATCCCTGACGGAGTTGTACATCCTTCCCCCTCAATTGCAAGCAGAGAAGGGCTAAGGCCACCCTTGTGAGGCATTGTTCCCACAAACGAGAGGTACCGATGATCACCCAGCGCAGTTTTGCCACCAACTGCCCTGCATGGCACGCGGTTTGGAGGGCGGGGAGGGGGGGGATGGGGAGGGGGCTCCTCCAAGGCCTCTTTGGTTCTGCAACGCGAGAACCTTGCAGCAACGGGGTCAGGGTCACGAGGGTAACGAGGGTCATGAGGGTCACAGGGCCGATCGCGGGACATGATGCCCAATCAGTACCCAAGCATGGTGCTCTCTTTTATAACGTTTACCCGAGCCATCTTGAGACAGCGTGATCCAACCAAAGGGTACCTTCGTTGTGACAAACGTCCGCTTGCAGGCTTCTGCCTGACGTGATTTTCCATTATACGAGGTCTCGCCTGAGGGCTTCATCGACGAGAGTGACGACGAGGTGCAGCACGAGCGCGCGCCGCTGCTGACGACGGAGAGCAGCCGCTCGGCTTGGCCCGGAAGCGGCAAACATCGGGTTTTTGGACCGCACCTGAAGGTGGCTTCACGTCGTAGAGCCGGTTTTGGGATAATCCAATTTGGGCTTCGGCTGACTTTGATACAACAGCCCCATTCCCAGCCATGTCCAGCTGTCTTCACAGCCAAGGAGCGAGCGACGAGGAGTCCTTCTGAGCCTCATGGACGCTGAGAATGTGGGGGCCGTGCATGAATGGCTTGTTGAATATCCTTATGCCTAGCTGTCCAGCCATAGGCACCGCAAAGGGTTCATGATGTTCTTGTCAAACGAACTTCGCCTGAAGGGACGTGCAGGGACGGCAATTCTTGCCTTTCTCTGTTTTGAGGCAAGCGATGTACACCAGCCGTGTTGATAGTTCCCACTGGTTCATTAAGCCCCCACATGACGGGTTGTACCATGGCAAGTTGGCTGGCCAACAACATCATGCTAGACAGCCTTAACCCCAGCGAATTCGTCAATTTGCATGCAGAGCAAAGCAATCGGTGGTTGGCGAAGCTAGCCCTTGACTTTGCTGGTACGTTGGAAATAGACTGGGTCCAGAGGTTGTGTCATCTCTGTTGCAGAGGCCAAAGTGCCCGAATCTCGCGCGAGTGCGCGTTCAGAGAGAAGGGAGAGGGAGATAAAACAACTTGACGCGAGCCAGTCGCAGCTCCTTGAGGGAAACGGGTCGTTTCGGGCATCACTTGCACCAGCGCTACGTGGCCGGAGACTCCCGCGAACTCCTTGCTGCCTTTCTTTGCGTGCCCATTTTTGACCCCTAGGCTTCCAAAGATTAGACAGGCTTGTCAAAGGCTCTGTGGAGCTCCAAAATGGTCAGCAAAACTTGGTCCAACATTCGGCTTTTGTAAAACCAAGGTTTTTATAAATACCCAATGGTTTTTATAAACCCGATTTGTGCAACGGCCTCGCGCAGCCCGCCAGATGGGGTTCTCCTGGTTTGAAGCGCTGGACTCAGAGAAGGACACGGAGCAGGCGGCGGCCCTGCAAGCGGCCGGGCGCCCCGGTGCGGCCGAGCAAGCCACAGGCCACCGGACATAGCCAGACCACCAAAGTTGTCCTGAACGGCTCAACACACAATCTAGATATGAGGCAGGCCTAAAATCGCGTGCTACCAGGACCTTGTCCAACAAAAAGTATAAGCAATCAACAACTGCATATTTGGGAAGGAGCCGCCATCTGCCCCGTGCCGACCACATGTTGGCCCGAGGCGCACGACGCCGCTGGGACGACCACGTCGCAGCTGGCAATGGCGCAGTGCGCGCTGCGGCGCTGGCAGTCAGCGCCCTCTTCTCGCTTGACCGAGGGCTTCGAGGGGCCGAACAGGTAGGTGTCAACTAGAACCTACAAAGCTTAAACTCTGTATTCAAAGCATTTTCCCTGGAACCAAAGCATTTTTCCCTGGGACCAAATCATTTTCTCCTAAAGCTAAAGCATTTTCCCCACCTGGCTCTCAAAACGGCGCTTATGCAAGACGTTTTTTTCCACCAGCAGGCGAACCCTTCGGAGGTTGCGTAGGACACGTCTGGGGAGCGGCTGGCGCCAGGTGCCCAGCTGGTGCTGCTCCGCCCAGCAGCGCTCCGAGCTCGCGCGCCTCGAGGAGCGCCGCACCAAGTGCGGAGGCGCGGCGTGCGGTCGCGCACGCGCCGCTGGGCGGTTTGGTCGTGTGAGGGCTGTGGGTGACGGTTGCGTATGGCCCCCTTTGAAAAGCCTTTGGTTTTGCGGCTTTGAGGAGGTCTCGTTCTGTTTCGTTGTTTCCTGGCCCACTGGTGTAATTGACATGCAATGAAGGCAGCCTGACTAAATCATGGAGTCACAATCTGTTAAAGGCATTTTGCCAGGGTTCTCTTGGTGCACGTGAGCCAATTGCAGAGGAGGCCCCAGGAATAATGCCGTGATTGCTGAATTTGAATACCCACAAGGGCAGCAACCCCAAACTCTCCCACTCTCCCCCTTGCTGTGTTGGCTGGGTGCGTCTTGCTGGATATTTGCTCTATGTAGCAGGGAAGCGATCCCAGCTGCAAGATGCTGTCAAACAGGCACGGGTAGCTTATCACTCGGTTTTGCCATCCCAAGAGGCCATACGCCAAGTTCTGCCTCCCCTGCAGGTGCCATTCGCACAGAGCTTGAGAGGCTCCGAGCTGGCCGTTTTGCTTGCTTAGTGTCGTCTGCCTATGGGTGCTTTGCAGTTGTATCATGGGAAATGTATTCGGCGCAGTAGTGCTGAGGGGAGCTGAGGGGTCAGCAGCCGAGCAAGGGGACAGTTAGCCCTGCTTGAAGGACGGCACGATTGTGCTTCTTCCCTTTTTGTACAAGTTGAATTGTTCATCATCAGGTGGCTCATCATTTATTGATATGTTTGTTGCTTGGACTACTGGAGCCATGAGGCTCTCAAGGCCATGGAGCAAATGGAAGCTAGCTAGGGCCTGCTTGGGGTCCAGCTGTCTCTTTTTGGCAGTCTCTCGGCGCGGGCTGCTGTGTTGCGGGGAAGTTTGATAAGATACTTGGATCGACCAGGTTCGCTGTGCCAGTGCAGTAGAGCAAACGTTTACTTTTTGAGTCCCTTCCTGAAGTGCCCAACGCTTGACGCTTTAGAAACAAAGGTCCCCCCAAGCAAAAAGGTTGCAAGCACTGCACCGCACAGAGATGGCATTGGGGGTAGTCACAGCCTGATGCGCTCTTACAGGCCACATCGGTCATTCCCAAAGGACTATAACGTTTTTGGCCGAAATAACCTTAGCATGGTTGGGGGCGGGGGTGGGGGGGACGATGAGGGCGAGGGTGATGATGGTGATGATGATGGTGATGATGATGATGATGATGATGATGATGATGATGATGATGATGATGATGGCGGTGATGATGATGTTTGCGAGATTGTGGCTTTACAGTGCAATTCTTATTGCAGGAGGGTCAGCTCTTAAAATCTGGCTCGCCCAAATGGCTTTGTAAATCCAACAAGTCATTTTGCGATTCATGCCTAGGCCGCAACCCCCCGAAGAAGGTCGCCCGCATTTGCCACTTCGGGCGGCTCGCATGGCTCGCCCCGCTCGCAATGCCTTGCCGCAGCCAACTTCTCGGCTCGCGATGGCGACACATCGGGAAGCGTCGGGATTGAGGACAGATGGGGCGTTCGTGTTGTGAAGGGTCATCTCATCAGCTGCTTTGCAGGGAGCAAGGCCTGGGACTTTCCGATGTACTTGCCCTTGACTTCTGAGGCAGCCCAGGCATGTTGTTCAGAAGGGTCTGCCAACTATTGGATAGACGGCAGCGCGAGCCGTGAGCAATTGCTAGCCTTTTAGTCAGGCTGCTGGTTCATTGTCTTGGCTGAATAAAAACCCATGCATGTTTGGGAAAGCTTTGCTTCAACCACTTCTGTAGAGCGAGTGTTATGTTTGCGTTCGTGGGCTCAGTTGAGTTGACTCGTGGACTTGGTCCTGTGTGTTCGTTCAGGTCCTGTGTCAGGCAAGCAGGCATCCTAGATTACTTTGGATCGGGTATACTGATTGGCTGGGGTAGTCCGGGGGAGATCCTACAGAGAGTGCGCCTCAAACTTGGTAGCCAATTTCTCTTTGGCGAATTTGTCCGGCCTTTCCAATTTCGCTCCCAGGAGATATTGGGGCCTAGCCCTGCTGGCACAGCTCCCAGTGCGCACAACATGGACACGCCCTGTCAGCCAAGGGGGAAGTTCTCGATGAGCCAGCAAGTGAGCTAGAGTCTGCAAGCTGATATGGCTCCCCAACGCTTGCAATGGAGCTCCGGTGAGTTACAGAAATCGAGATTCATGTTAGACGTGCTATCAATCTTCGTGGGTGCAAAGAGCCAAGCGGCCGGCTGAGCCTTGCAACCGAGGCCCTTCTGCTAAAGCCCTGGACCTTTGTGGCGCCACGGATTGCGGGCGCGGGCGTTCGGGGCGCGAGCTTGCAGAGGCGAGGGGTCGGTTGAGGTTGAGGGACAAGGGAAGAGGGTGGGAAACGAACGGTAAGCAGAGTGGCATGATTCACGTTAGGAAATGGACTGCTGAGAAGGATGTTGAATTATTGCGAATGCCCAGAATGCTCCTGGAATTCTGCCACTTGCCCGCCCAATCTTCAGTGCTTCGTGCCCCGGTCGCGCAAGCTTTGGGTTCCCGTACCCCGAAACAAATAAGAATTCCAGACATCTCCAGCAAACGCCAGTCGTTTCTCAATCCAGCAACAATAATAAGGAGACCTGAAGGCTGCCAAAAGCGCACATATTGTTTTGCATGGCCGCCAGAACGGGGCAGAGAGCGTTTCCGAAGTGGCGAGTGTTTTCTCTTGTGCGTGTGTTTGGCGTCTTTCAGCGCTCTCCGCCACCCAAAAACTCCATCACAAGAGCCAGCCGATAGGCTTAGCTGAAGTCTACCCGTCTTAGGCATTTGGGCGAGCTGAAGGTGATGTATCCAGCGGAGCCGCTCACGATAAGCCACGAAGTGGAGAGTTCACACTTGCCACACCTTGTGCTCTTCCATGGGGCCATGTGTTGGATGAGAGCTGGATGTTGTGGTTGTCAAGGACTTAAGCCTTCCTCAACTTTGAAGGACTCACCACTTGAGGGCATATCTGAATTTCGCCCGGTGCACGATCCTCTGCGCCCAGGCGAGCAAAAGTGCAGGACTACAAATACGACCTTGCAGAGCAACAGGACGGGGGTTCTGTCGAACATGTTCACATGCATACCTTTTGTATCTTATTGACTCTTTGAGCTAATTGCACTGCACAGAACACATGGCGAGCATACGCCGAAGACACTGCCATTCTTTTGCAAAGATGTTTGCTACGAACTGAAACAAGCTGTCACCTGCCTCGCCGGTTTTGACGTTTCAAGCCTTTGTCATCAGGTCCGTTTTGAATCAAACAAAGCACTCTCCTTTGGGTTCGTAGGCGGCCCAAGTCCTTTTGGACGTGGGGATTGGGGAACTCCGCGCTGGGATTGTCGCACAGCTGGGGCATGGCTGCAGTAAGCCCACAGGGTGCAAGTGAAGCAGCTTACGGTTTTCAAGAATTGCAGGTTGCGCCGCTTTTCAAAACAGGGAGGGCAGCCGCGTCACCCGCCTTGCCAGGGCTGCTGGCTGGTGGACATTTTGCTGAAGTCCCCTCATGTTTCATTTGCAATGAACCCGGACAACAGCTTTTGATGGCTTGTTTGCAGCATTAGCTTCCCATGAGGGAAGGGGAAGGGTTGTGGGCGCCAAGCAATCAAGGGCACTCAGCAGGCGGCCCAAAAAGAGCCTATTAGACCTGCTGAAAGCTTATTTGGCCGTTGGACCGGGGGTGGGCTTCTTGGGAGGCCTTGAAACCATGAAAACATATAAGCACCACCCGATTGTGGAGGGCGATTATCATGAAACCCACTAGGTAACGCCTTGTTGTGTCGCGCGCCAGAACTCGAGTGAAGCCTTGGACCGAGATGTCATTGCCGCTGGGCTCGGCAAGGGGCTTCTTGGGGACTTTGTTGGTGGAAGTGTTGAAAGGAACTCAGCCCCTTATCCGCCTGCGTGTTTTGTTTCAGGACGGGTGATTGAGGAGTTGTTGTGGGGCGGGTGTGGAGTGGTTGCGTGTTCGCTTCCAACTGGGCGGGCTGTGTGTGTGTGTGTGTTGGTTTTTCGCGTTGTGCTCACCAAGTTTTGGATCGGATCTGCGGTTCGCCAAATCTTTTATGAAATCGGGGAGCTTAGCTTGCACTGGAAGAAGACGCTCCGATGGACAGGTGCCCTGGCCGAAAAGGGGGGATCCGGCTGGGCAGCTCATCCAAGTGGGATGTAAAGGCGCAAGAAGGTTCAAGCGTTCTCAGCCACTAACTTTCCAGCTCCCATTCCAACTCTCCCATTCCAACTGTTTGGGGTTCGGTTGCAATGTTGAAATGTTGGTTCCCCCCCCTTCTTTTCTCCTCGAAGCTGGCTGGATATCACGTTCGGCTGAGGTCAACGACATTCGGGACCTGAACGAGCTGCTGAAGCTGAAGGATCCCATTTGCCCTGACGCAGCGCGGCGGCAGTTGTCACCCCACTCCTGCTCAAGCCCTCCAGTGGCACCGGTTAGTTCCTGTCTACGCATAGCTGTAGGGCACGAGGTGGGGTAACGAAGAGGGTTGCATATAGCGAAATGCATCTTGGACACCGAAAAGTTGGGCATTTTCTTGTTGAGCCTGGTCATGTCAGAAGTTTGACAAAGGTGTTGAACGAGCTTGTGTGAACCGGACAGAAAAAGACATACATGCGAGACATGTGCCAGGTGTCGGTGCTGGCTCTAATGAAACGACGTATTCTAATGCCTTTGGTCAAAGGACATGGTACCTATTCATGGGTGCTGTTAATAATTCTGCGCTTTCGTCGAGTGGCCGGAGATGTTCAAGCACATGTTTGCCTCAATGTGCTCAAAGCGGGCTGAACCACAGGTCTGATTAAATTTGGACTACCTGGCTGGAAGCCTGGTTTCACCCATTCGCTGCCCATTTCAGTGCTTCAACTTCTTGACTCGGAGCACGCAGAGGCTTGAGTAGGTCGCATTCGCTCGCCATGCTGTTGGCCAATCTGTTCGCGCGGGCAGCTCCCCGGCAAGTGCCTCGCCGCCACTTGCCAACGGCTAGGGCTGACTTCGGGTCCAGGCTGACGGAGCTAGGAGCAGACACCGGTACTCATGTCCAAGAAGATCCGGAGCACCAAATCCGCAACCTTCAGAAGAGATTCCGGAGGCTCAAGCAGATTGCAGATAAGCTGGAGTGGCCAAGGCCAACAAGCTTTGAAGCGCTGGGTGCAACTCATCCGTTGCCGTTTCGCTGGCAACCTCCTCCAGCTCGAGCTCCGGATGCTTTGCAGGTCACTTACTTGGCTGGCTTTTTTGACGGGGATGGGTGCGTGACCTCGAATGGGCAAAGCGGCACTCAGATGAGAGTGAGCCAATCGGTGCACAACGCGGGTATCCTACTCCAATTTATTGAAGCGTTCGGTGGCAGCATTTTGTTGCAGAGCAAAGGTCAAGGATTCAATCAGCCCGTGCTGCTGTGGTGTGCCAGTGGGGAATCTGCCCGAAATGCGGCCAAGGCGATGCACCCCTGCAGCGCTGTCAAGACAGCAGAGCTGGCATTGGCACTCGTTTGGCCTTCTTGTCCCA